ACTTACTCAGACACACAGAGGATGGTTTCTTTGCCTTCTTCCACTGCAATTTCAACATCATTCTTCACATGCTCCACTGTCAGCAGAGCTCCTTTAAAAATAACACATGAGAAAATGATACTGAACTTTCTTCCAGAAAAGATATCTTTCATCATAGCAATAAAACAATTACATTTCTTATTAAATAGGACCAGGTGACCAAACTGACTCCTTCAAGTAAGATTGTCCAGGAAAGAAATTAATGTTCAGTCTCATATGCAAGAGGCTTCTTACTCTTGGCAATCCTTACAGCTTCAAATTGATAATGTCCAGCATTCAGTAACCTGCAGTGAGCTCAGCAAGTGTTAGCAGCAATACATTTTGCTTCCTAAGTGTATTGTAAAAATCAGTGCTGTCCCCCACTATAGGTGGGGAGCATAATCAAACTGGTTTAAATTACTGAACAGCATAGTAATGTACTCCATCCTAGCCCTGACATATGCATCAAAGGAGATCAATTACTGAATATGCCAGTACTTTCTGAACAAGGACAAGACTATTTTTAACCTGATTTAATGTTTATGAAAAGATTAGCCATTCAAAATGAAGAAATCCTATCCACCTAAAAGTGCAGGAAACTTATACAGGGTTTTCAGAGTAAGCAGTTCAGCAGGGAGAGTAAGAGGTGGTCTATAGGAAATAAAAGACTTTTTTGAAGTTTTTAGGCTACATTGTCAACTGGATAGCTCTGCTAATATTCAAAGTGCCTTGATGCAAACCTGCTCTGATCTCAGTGATCTATAGCATGACACAGTTGCTCAAACAAAGCACTGAGCTAACTTGGCTGTATTTCTGGATTGGCTCTGGTCCAGATTCAGCTTACTGAGCATAAGTAAAGGAGCTTGTGTTCTTTTGCTTTGCTTAGAAGCATGCACAAAGACAGAAAGTTTTTGCATAGGCAAGTATTACTTAAATTAACCTAGCCAAAGGACTATATTGTAGGTCGTGAAAGGCATCTAACCTTTTATAGTGCTCACAGTGTGCTGTGCACTTCATCTTCCCTAGAACAACACCCAGACTACCCAAGGCAGATGATGCAAGCTATTAATACGCTGTCCTAAATACAAAGCACTGGAGCTAGGAATTCCCTAGCTCTCACCTCTGCTCATCTGCAGACCCTTCTTGTATCGTTAAACTTTTATCAACAGTAAGTCAAGGTTCTTCACCCCATCAGTTACCTGTAGAAGTCAGGATGACATCCCTTGCGCAATATGTTTGTAAGATGTGCAAGTATTTTAATAACACGCATGGAAATACTTTGAAGATGAAAAGCATTATGAGTACCAAGCCATGCAATTAATACTAACAGCATCATAAGCGACTACACTTTTCCCAGTGCACAGCAGATGAATAGTACAAAGCAGGAATGAGCAGGATGAGTGTGCTTGTCTTCTCAATACAAATGTTTACTGAAGTGTTTCCTCTGTAATAGTTCTAAAATAATTATGTGATCTCCTGAATTACATCTCTAGTGCCACTCACCAGTTATCAAGAGATAAGAATCCTCCAAAGCCTCCCTAAATCCGTGTTAATCAGCCCATATTGCACCATAACTTTTCTAACAAATTGTTATAAATAAGTATCAGGAGAAACATTATTTAAAACTTGTATATTATACCTTAAAACAATAGCTACACAAGTTGTATTCAACTCTGAAATGCATTTAGGAATAACAGCGTGAAAAAGAAATCAATAAACTGAGATGAAGAATGTGAAGAAAATATATTCTGAATAATTAGAATGGAAAAGAGGTATGAAAGACATATAAAAGGCTGTGCGCAATGGAGGAGGTTCTCAGGCTTGTAAAGGCAAAATAACACCGAAGGGCAAGAAGTAAGTGAAACAGCAAGATTTTGCAGTCAAACTCTGAGCTAGCTCCCCAGACGAGCCAAATTTTAGCAGCAGGTTAGAACTGACAAGGAAACATAGTTAGGCAGAGCTCACGAACAATCTGAATTCGGGCTGCCTTGAAACCGCATCCTCAGCGCGCTAACTCACCTGAGGGGTCCACCTATGACTCAGTTTCTTTAGCCTAAGTGCAAAGCAACCCGGTGGAGCAGCCGCCGGAGGGCGGCAGGACCTGCCCTGCCCAGTGCCTGCAGACCGGGGCCGAGCGGGCGCTGCGGAGCACGACACGCGGCCGGCGCCTCCTCAGCACCTCAAGCAGCGGCGGGACCGACGGCGCCGTGACTGTCACACCACCGGCCTGCGCCCCACCTCAGCAAGGCGGGCTCGTCCCGAAACCCTAAGGCACATCAGCCGTCTCCCCCGCTGCCGAGGCCGAAGGGGGCACACGGCCCCGGGCTAGCCGGGCCGCAGAGGGCAGGACGAACAAGGGCCCCCCCTCGCCCGTCCCCACGCGCATGATGCAACACAGCAACCCCACGAAGGGACAGCACGCCGCCACAGCACCACCCAGCACAGCGGGAGGAGCGGGGTACGCCCCGCACTCACCGAGCGGAGGGCTGCTCGCGTTGACGGTGAGGCTCAGCGTCGCCATCCCGCCGACACGACGCCGGAACCACGGCAGAGGCTGAGGCGGGACGCGCAGCCGCGCCAGCAAGACAAGCGCCGGCCCGGCTGGTCCCGCCCGCAGCCGAGGGGCGGGGCCGCGCGGAGCCACTTCCGGTGGCGGGGTGTGAGGCGGGGAGGGTTTGATCTGGGCCTCTCTAATAGTGGGGTCAGTCCGAAGGAGATGGGGAGGCTGGAGTTGAGTGGAAAGCCTGGGTGTTGTGTGGAGGCTGCCTCATCTCTCGCCTTGTTGTAGGCCTCTGTAGGGTTGGGTGCTGCCGATTCGCTCAGGCAAAGGCTTCCCTAGAGCTTTGCAGGAGCTCACCGTAAACCTGAGGTAGATGTGTGGCGGTGGCTGTACGGAGAGCTTCCGTCGTTTTTCTGTCGGTAATGACACAAGTAGATCAAGCGGCGCACGTATACCGACGCATGTGGTGCGGTGGTTTAGCAGTCTGTTTAGTTAAGACTCTTACTTGCTATGCTCCTCGTAAACGTGGATTTTGCAGTGTGGCCCAAGCTAGTCTTGGAATGAATTGCTAAAATGCTGTGTCAGCAATTTTTCTCTTCACAGGACGCAGACTCAAGTTCACATTGTTGCAAGGACAATGCAGTGTTCCCCCCCCCCCCCCCCCGTCTAATTTATAGATGGTATTATAGCACCTCATGTGCTGCTAGAGACATTATCAAATGCTTGATTGGTGAACTGGTGCTGTTTTGTGCAGTGGGTGTAGTGGTATAGCCAGAGCATGACTGTGTCTTATGTGCTGGCTTTTATCCCAACTTCCCTCAGTGCTTGCCTGTGTTAGCAGTTTTACACTTTGTGTAAGTATGGAAAGCGGTTCCATACATAAGCATTTTTATACATCAGGTAGAAGCTGGTGTATGCTTTGTGTGTTTTACTCCTACTAAGGTAACTGTAAAGGAGCAGAGCAATAAATTACAGCAGAATTAGAGAGAAGCTTATACAAAGGAAACTTTCAAGCATATAGCAAGTTTCAGATGAAAATAAGGATAAAGAAACAGATGAAATTGCTAACAGTGAGTTCTGCGATTTGTATTTTTATGTTCTATGGAAAGGTTTATTAAGCAGGCTTTGAGTTGTCTAAGTTTTTCTCTGTTTTGTGTCAATGTGCTTTACAAATTCACATACAGATTTTTATATGAATACTAAAGCATGCACATCCAAAAGTCCCGCAGAAGGTAGGGGTAAGAATTATGTATAAGTGAGGCAGTGAAATGATGTTAATTTTGTATGTGGAATGATTAAACTTATAATGGGGCAAAATGTGAAGGCTCTAATTAAAGCAGGCTGAATTTCTGTTGCATGTTCTTACTAGTCATGAGCTTGAGAAAGGAGAAGAAAGGTGAAGCTGTAGACGAAAGGATTAGATGCATGTGTTGTTTCTATATATATGCAGCTTTAATCCAGTGTCATGATAGCATTATGGACTGGCTGATAATAGAATGCAGTAAGTGGTAATCTTGCTAACTGATCTGTAAACGTTATGATAAGCTGACCTCACTAAGGAAAGCACTTCCTTAGATCCTTTTCCATGCATGAACATGGGAGACAGAGAATGCTCTAGCAAGAGATGCTTGCTGGAAATAAAGCCAGGTTTAAGCCACTGAAGTCACATTGGTGTTACCCTACTGTGAGGAAAGGATGTAATCTAAAGACTCTAACATGTGTGATGAAAGAAGCAACTTGTACACACTGAAGGATTTGGGTCACAAAATGTGAAGAAAACAAAGAATGCAGGGGCTCCACTGGTTCAAAATACTCCAGAGTCCTAAATTCAGCTTGAGGAGACATCTGTTTTGGCCAAGGTTGCCACTGTTAGTTAGTCATATGTAATTTACTACTTACTCTCTTTTGTGTTCACGCAGACTGAACAGTTGAATCCTGCTTTCCTAACTCCCATACCTATGGGAAAGCTGACTGAAACAGGCTCTCCAATTTGTAAGTTCATTTTAGGTGCTCTTGTCATCTGGTCTCTCTCATTCCCTAATGTGCTGACATTCCATAGGACAAAGACGTGGTAGTGTCGGGTTCCTCAGCTCTTGGGGCTGTTGGAAAGGCACCTGGATATAAAAAAATCTCAAGTTCTGGCATTTAAGTTGTCCCTGTGTATGACAAAGTGACCTAGGATGCTCTCCAAGACTGAGATGACACAGACCCCAAGAGAGGCATTCCAAATCATCAGAGACGTGCTGGGAACTCCTCTCCCTATTGCAGTTTCCTTGGGTTCTCCTCAGTTGAGGTGTCCTGAACTCTGCTGTATTAATGCTTCACTGATCCCAAATGGATCCAGTGATCCAGGAACCTCTATTTGAGATGTTAAGAGGTCCAGCTGGCCTGGTCTTGGCTTCTGCAAAACTGACACCCCAGCTCTCCACAAACAGCAATCTCTGTCATCCCAAAACCAAGTACAGATCAGAAAATTCAAAGATTCACTTCTAAGAATCAAAACTGTGAATTTTATAATAAATGGGCTAATCCATCCAGGCAAATTCTTAGTCCATTTGTACTTAATAAACTCTTGTTGACTACATACAACAAAAAATATTGAACAACATCAGGAAAATGACTTAACATGACTTTGTGCCCTGACTATTAAGATGATTTTTGGACTCTACTGTTATGATCAGCAGTATGTTAAACACAGAAATGAAGAACAAATACTGCCAAAGGATGGTTCAAGAAATGTGACTGGTTTGATGTTTTCTGCTAAACACAGCAAAACAATCTGATCCAACATATACATATTGATTCTGTGTGCAATTTGAAATTATTGAACACCTTAATGTAAGAATGCAGTTCAAACTCTCTAAAACAGTATTTCAGGCTCAGTTATCATCTTGCTTTCTTCTCCAAGCTCGCTTTCTCAGCCTGCCAGGCCAAGTGAAGATGTTTTATTGCTTCAAGGCACAAGGGATTGTTTAACAGTGTTAGGAATACGACTGGCATAATAGTCATAATTTCTCAAAGCAGCAAGGACCCCAGCAGAATTCATGTGTTTCACTTCCTTGTTATACTGAAATGAATTTCCATGGATATCAGTTATCTTGCCTGAAAAAAAAAAGAAAAAAAATATAAAATCAGCAAACAAGAGTTGGAGAGAATTAGTACAAGTGATACAGCTAAAAAAACAGTCTTTGTTGTACACATGCCTGTCTTCAGATGTGAAATATCTTTGCTCCCAGTTTAAGTGCAACAGTTTTGTACTGACTGAAATCAAATAACTAATGGTTTTATTTTCTTTCAGTAATATTTACATTCCTTGTGTTTCAGGAAAAGACCACCTCTCTCTTATGGATTAACTAAAATGCTTCCTGAATAGTTTTTACATTTGCCATTGACAGGAAAGAAGGAAGTATCTTGTAATAAAGTAAAAGCCAGGGTAAGCCTATACAACAAACTAACATAATATAGAAATACCTTAGCTGGTTTTAAACAAGTTTCTAGAAATCACTTAGCAAGACCAACACTGATCTTTATGCAAGCTAATTTAACCATGACATACCTAAGTAACAAGGAGGCTAAATACAGCCCTATGCTGCCCCAGATTAATTGGGTTTTTTGTGCCTGAGCTAACCTGTTTAAAGCTATCTCAATTATCAACACTAGAGACTGCAGATAATGTCATTACAAAGCCAGTTATCATTGCTTGACAATTTAGGAGATTAAACCCCATTTATCAGCATAAACAGCAGAAAAAAAATATAATAATACTTATATTCAAGTTTTTGTCAGTGAGACTTTTCATAACTCCTCTAATCTCTTCCTCCCTAGAAAGGTGAAGTGGCTTATGTTGGCTGGACACCACTAATTTTACTGAATTACACAGAATCATAAAATGGTTTGGGTTGGAAAGTACCTTAAGATTGTCAGTTCCAACCCCCCTGCCATGGGCAGGGAAACCTCACACTAGACCATGATGCCCAAGGCCCTGCCCAACCTGCCACTGCTGGGGATAGAGCATTTACCACTTCCCTGGGCAGCCTGATCCAGTGCCTCAGCAACCTCACAGTAAAGAACTTCTTTCTTGCATCTTACCCAAATCTCCCCTGTTTAATTTTAAACCCACTACCCCTTGTCCTATGACTACAATCCCTGGTGAATGACTCAAAGGAACAACTGCATTGTTTGGCCTATTTTTGTTGTTTTAAAGAATTCTCTGTCTACGTATTACATAATATGTTACTAATGCTAGCCTACTACATGCACTTAGGACAGTGTGATTTTACTGTGAAATAGTAGCCAACAGAAAAAAGCCATTTATTTTGGCCTATCCCTTTGGAGCTACTGTTGATTTCAGAGGGCTTTTTTTTTTTCCCTATGAAAAACGTAAGTAACTTTAAACTACATTTCACTTATCTTAGAATTTTGAATGATATTAACTTACCTCCCACAGCATGTAGAATAGCTTCCGGTGCACATGTATCCCATTTCTTGCACCCAGGACTTGCAAATACATAAGCAGATGCCTTGCCTTCTATAAGCTGAATGACCTGTTAGGAATAGAGAGTGGCAATCATTGCAAAGGATCTAGGCATTTAGAATTGGGTAAAACTAACACCAGCAAACAGGGATTAGATCAGTTTATTAATGTACTTAACTCTCAGAAAAGGAATATTAGCCATTTCCTTTCCAATATTACAAGAAATTATATTAAGATTTAGAAAGCTATAGTGTATTACCATTCTAAGTGATCTATTTTGGATTGTTATGAATACAGTCTAGTAGATGAAAATCTGATCTTAGTTTCAGAAGAGAGTCTGTTTTTGACAGCCATGACAAAAAAAAAAGCTTTAAAAACTGTAGCAAATGGGTATTCCCTGCATGCAGAGAAGTTCTGCAAAGGAAATATCACTGAGTGCTTTTATGTTTATCCTTTCATATAAGCTGCTAGATAGTTGGAACCAAAACTGTATTAACATGAATGAGAGGAAATGTCTAATAGCTGTGATTAAACTGAATTCCCGTTTAGTCTTCATTAAAACTTTTTATTTTCTCCCCTAGAAACAAAATACAGGGCAAGATGGACCTGAGCTATTACCAGCATGGCCACTGTTATCAATATACCTGGACCAAATTCTCTCTACCTCACAGCACACTGAATGCTAGGAAGAGAAGTTGTGCTGGGAAAGGAGGAGGAAATCTCCTGTACATTTATGCAAGTAAGTGATTTCTTTAAAAATTCTTTTTTTTTCCAAAGGTACCACCTCCCAGTAATAAGAAAAGATTTATAGCTTTTATACCTTGTTTCCTGCTCCTCCAACTCTGATGACACTGTCTGGATTCAAAGCACTGATGCATTCGTTTACCAGGGCACTGCTGTGAGAACGGGTGGTAACAATGATGTGTTTCCCAGCAGGTGCTTCTGTGAGCTGAAATCCAAAGGCACCTATGCCTAGGACTCCCCAGATTGTCCGTCCTAGCACAGCGTCAGGTCCTGCCTACAGAAAAGGTACACAGGTCCAGGTGACGGTTAATCACAGTGATCAGCATTTAAAGCTCAAATGGAAGGAGTACTTAGAGATGTCTGCATATCAGGGAGTATAATACTAATACTAGGTTATACATTTAAACTACTCTAGAGCTCAGAGTAATTGGCTCTAAGGCAAGGACATTGTTTACCCTTTTCTTATCTGTGACATTGTGGTGCATTACATTCTGCCTCCAATGACTGATGTTAATATTTGTATATTTCTGTACTTCAGGCACAATCTGTAACTGAAAATATCATTTCATTTTAAATGTTTTGTCATACATATTACACAGAACATATGGAATCAGCTGACGATATGTATTACATCAACTCAAGAGCTTTTTCTTTAAATTCTAGTGAGTTTAATCAATCAGGCTGTGCCAAGTCCTTTTTTCCCCATCACACATAATACTGATATAATCTCAAAACATGTTTAAATGCTTGTAGGTTGGCCATCCTGGACTTATTCCTGTAACCTAGCATGATATACTCTAACCCAGCTGTCAGTGACAGGTACACTTGGTTTACTACAGGGCTGCAGATTTATGGCAGTTACCACGTTTCACAAATGCACCTACTGCGTGGATTTACTAGAGAGTTTATGGCAAAGACTCCAAAACCACTGATCTGTACTTATTTTACAGCACGTACTCTGTATTTACTCTAGCAATATGTACAGCATATATTCAATATATTGTATATTACACAAGCCTCAGGATTCAGTATAGCTGTTAGTAGAGCCCTGAGATTCAGTTCCTGCAAACCAACATTCAAAATCATATATATTTAATAAAAAACTACCACCTTGTAATCCAGCATTAAGTCCACTATGTGCTGCTTTTCAGTTGAAAGTGTGTTAATTAGAAAAGGCTTAGAAGAGACAGTCAGAAATCATCTAATGCTTTTAAACAAATCAATGCATTTAATACCTCATAGTTGTAATATGGCTGGTTAATAACTCCTGCTATTGCTTTGCCTCCATAAGCAATTCCAATAAGAACCGTTACGTGGTCAAGGAGACCTGTACAGAAATCACATGAATGTAGTTATGCTTCTAAAAGAGAGTATATATATTTAAAAAGAGCCCCTTCAACGGATGTCCTGATACGCAGAGTGGTATCTTAAAAATGCAAATACTAATCAGAATTTTCAGGTGCAATAGCTGGTTGATATAACTTTTTTAGTCATTTACCCTTGAGGTTTGCAAAAAAAAAAAATGCCCCAGATAGAATTCTTTTAATAGAACTATGTTATAATTAACACAAAATGAGGAAGAAATTTAAAGATACAGCTAAATGGAAGTATATGATAACATTCTTCTTTAACTGTGGTGTGGTTTCTTTAACGGTATTCAAAACTAACAATTTGTTGACAATTGTACATCTCTCTTCCTGAAAAGGGGAAAAAAATCTGCCTAAAAGATTTCACATTAATCAACTAAAAAATGCAGCAAGAAGTTTCAGCATATTGTTTCTGGAGGTTTTCTTTTGTTTTCTTCATTTTAGGGTCTATTTCTAAGGACACAAATTAGGCTTTGCTGAAAACAGTTTCAGAAGAATTATGATCTGAACGAGATATTTTATTTTGAAAGGGCTACAAATACAGCTCTGGTATTTGAGTTGTTTGAAGAGGAGGATTGAGGGCATTCCTGTGTGATTTAGCCCCTCAACTGAAAGTATATGTGAAATTGTAAGTTTGACTTAAAGCTGAAGGAAATCTGCCAGCAATCAAAGGCAGCCCTTTGCTCCCTGAAATGATAAAAACTGGTGGGCATTCAGTACTCCATCAGGAATATTCAATACTGAATGGAATGATGAAAAAATCCATAGAACTCACAGTAAAGAAACAACACCAGCCTTATGAAACAATATCATGTGTAACTCCTATCATATAACTATCTACATGTGCATGCTACTTTATTACATTCCTTTTTTGTTTAAATCAACAGAATTAAAGGAGAAGCCAACCTTCAGTGTACTCCTTGGTTCCGTCCAAGGGATCAACCCATATTACAAGCTTTAAAAATACAAAAATAAGGACATTAACAAATACAAATGATGGAAGTTGTCATGCAAAGTATATATTTTACTTCAGTACTTTCATTTCCTTACAGGAGTAAATACAGAAAAAGTACACAAAAAAGCTTAAAAACTGACTAGAACTTCTCAGCAAGTATCTTTATAGAGGTACGAAGGCTTAAACTTGACATGGAAATGACATTATTATGTCTGAAGTAGATAAATTAATTTGAATCACAAGCTGCAGGAAGCAAATGTCCATTTCCCACTATTGCACCTCAGGAATATGCAGCATTTCTGGCTGTGGAGGTGTGATTCTCATAATGACATTTCAGTTTTCCAACCAAAAAGAAAAGCTTGCAACACTGGAATAACCTTTTTCTTAACACATTCTTAGCTAAAATCAGTAAGTAATATAACATAGTGTAAAATATGAAGACATGTATAGCGTTACCACATTACCTCTTCCTCTTTAATTCCTGTGTACTGAGCAGGACAAGTTTTCTTCAGGATTTCTTCACAGTGACCATATTCAATTAGTTCCTCAGTTACCTCATCACCGGGCAGTTCCTAACAAAAGTATTCTTAGAATTATCGGAAAAAGATGTTAGGCTAACCTCAGTTTGCCTTAGAACTGTGGATTTACTTGTGGCTTGCTTGACAAAGCTAATGCAATGGAAAGGTGAAATGGAATACCAACATTTTTAATAGGTTATTTCTTAGCCAAACAGATTCTACCGCAAGTTACTGAACTTGCGGTATGAAATAAACTAGGTACTTACTTCTTCTCCTATGATTGTCACCTTGGGAAACTTCTGTGCCAGCGAAGCACAAATGCTCATTTGTACCAGTCGGTCAGCTTTAGTCTGCAAGTCATTGGCTCCTGTCTGTAAAAGGATGGATGGGAATTTGTATGTTTCAAAGCAATAGCAACAAAAAAAAACCAGCTGTACAATGGCCCATATGTAATGCTGAATATCTACCTTATAATGAAAAGGAAGTCTAATTAGATAAATCATCAACCTAGTAAATGATCCTGAGAGAGGCAGGCTAAAAACTGAAACAGACAGTTTCCCTGCACACCCCAAAGCTAAAACAGACTGCTGTGATATCAGAACAATATTTAGATGCTGTGTTCTTCCCATGCAATGGTACAGTTGTACTGATATGTATTTGTGCAAATACTGCACTATGTACAGAGTAAATTAATATAGGTGTGATCACAGATACGAGGGAAAAGCAAAACCAACATGCTATCCAAAGCTTGTTTTTTGTTAAGAAAATCAGGACAAAACTGTGGTGTTTCTTTTAAGTGTCTGAACATTCTTTAGAAATACCTGTCAAAAGATACTTCTCCAGTGCTCTTTTAATCCTTTAATAAGGAATATTTCTTGTATTGGAGAGGTGAGGACTGTATTTCTTTCCTTATTTGCTGATCTTCAAAAATACCGCTTTGACCTGTATCTAAATTAGCATTAGTAAGAGAAATTATATTAGAACAAAGTAAAAGTTATACCTTCTCCACTATGCCCAGATCTCCTGCAGCCATTACATTTCTAACAATTGTTGCAGCTTTTTCTGCAGCAGAATATGCAGAGGCGACCACACGCATGAGCAGAGCTGGAGAAGCCATGATGAAAGCTGAAAGGAAACAAAAAGCAAACTTAGAATCATAGAATAGTTAGGGTTGGAAAGGACCTTAAGATCATCCGGTTCCACCCCCCTGCCATGCACAGGGATGCCTCACACTAGACCATGTCACTCAAGGCTCTGTTCAACCTGGCCTTGAACACTGCCAAGGATGGAGCATTTACCACTTCTTGTGTGTTTCTCTCTTCAAGAGAAGACAATAAAGAAAATATTTTAGTTAATATTCCAAACAGACAGAGTTAGAGCTGAGTAGAAGGGGGTTTGTGGGTAACTTCCAGTGAGCAGTAATGAAGTGAGCTTTGACTTTTTGAAAAATACATTAAATATGTATAAAGCTACTTCAGACAAGTTTTCAAATACCTATGCTCTGATAGAGAATCTAGTTCTCACTAAAATAAAATCTGACATTAAACAAGAAAAGCAACAAAAATTCATAAATGTTAGAAAACGTGTAGTCTACTACTAGTCCATTGGTTGAAATGTAAAACAGGTTTTTGTAGATGGCCTAATTGTGGGCACAAATTAGGTTAATGATACACAGATATCCCAAACTTGTATGTGGAAGTCTGTTCATCTAAAGTTTACCATCCTTTCAGTATTTAACTTCTCTTGCTTTCTCTAAGAAAATCTATTGCATCTTCTCCTGTTCTGGTTCCTCAACATAAAAAAGACATGGAACTGTTGGAACAAGTCCAGAGGAGGGCCATGAGGATGATCAGGGGACTGGAGCACCTCCCATATGAAGACAGGCTGAGAAAGTTGGGGCTGTTCAGCCTGGAGAAGAGAAGGCTGCGTGGAGACCTCAGAGCAGCCTTCCAGTATCTGAAGGGGGCCTATAGGGATGCTGGGGAGGGACTCTTCATTAGGGGCTGTAGTGATAGGACAAGGGGTAACGGGTTAAAACTTAAACAGGGGAAGTTTAGATTGGATATAAGGAGGAAGTTCTTTACTGTAAGGGTGGTGAGGCACTGGAATGGGTTGCCCAGGGAAGTTGTGAATGCTCCATCCCTGGCGGTGTTCAAGGTCAGGCTGGATAGAGCCTTAGGTGACATGGTTTAGTGTGAGGTGTCCCAGCCTATGGCAGGGGGGCTGGAACTAGATGATCTTAAGGTCCTTTCCAACCCTAACTATCTATGATTCTTTCTCTCAACACTGCATGTCCTGTAGTTCTTCCTACTGTAATCCTCTGCATCTGTTCCCCAGCACACATCAGTGCAATTCACTGTGCCTTCAGTTCCCAAATAGAACAACTATCACTTGTGAAAGGCTGACAATCATCCATTCCTCCCAGCTTTTCTCTACCTCAGGAAAAAGAAGTATGGATCATCAGGCTGCAGTCTTTCAAATTCAGAGCTAGTTGCTTTTCCTGTCAATTCTTTCTGTCTGTGTAGATTACATGCTTTTTGGGTTTGGTTTACACATGCAATATACTTCCAATTTAATTCTTGAGCACAGAGCTAGAAAAATACAGAGGGATTCATTCATCATCACATAGAAGACTGTATTAGGCTTTCCTCACAACCAATATTTGCAGGAATTGCAGCAAGTATTGCATAAGTTGCACTAGTAGGTTATTAGACAATATCCTTCCATTCTTGCTTGAGAAATCTCAAGTATAGTGTACTCAGTAAAGTATAATGTAAGGAGGTTATAAGGCTAGCTACTGTAGATGATAGTGACAGGACCTCAAGTTCATGTCTTTACAGTTTACAGCAAACAGCCATGTTAGAGGTACCAAAATCCCTAATTTAGCTGGTTTAAGAATTTTTCCAGCACTTTACAAACACTGTATGGGTATCTCTAAAGCCGGAAGATCTTTGAAGCTAAAAGAGTCATTGTGTAAGTACATTCAAAAAGCATAGCTGCTACTGGTTTTTATGACCTACTGCTCATGGATGGGAGCAAAGTGCTCTGGAGTCCTGCAGAGTAGCCAGGGTCTGTACCCGAAGTACTCTATCTTTGACTGGTAACAACGGTTACAAAGGAGATTTCTGAAATGCTACCCACGGCAAAAAGCAACTCTCAAACAACTGAAAATTGTAGAGCAAATACGTGTCATAACACACGGGGAGACAGGTACTATTTTAAGTATACACTATCATATGAAACAAGTTAAAGGGAAGGAAAGTTGAATGTAATTCATTCCATACTGAAAATATCTGAAATATTAGAACTTCTGAGAGAGAGTAAAAATTAGCATATTAGATGGGAAGTTTTGGTTAAAGAATTGAGCTCAGAAGAGGATAATTAAGATTTTGATGCTCAGCTTCTCATTTGACCTTTTATTATGCATTTGATCCTGCTTTGTAAAATAAGGTTTAAACTTTATTATTTTAAAGGCTTGATTTATTTAATGATTTCATAAGTTAAAAAAACCTCTCAGAAAACAGTACAGAAATACTGTCTTATATTCTTCAAGCTCGACCCAAGATGTTTCTTGGGCATGGTTTTCTTGGACATTCTTAAAGCAGACAAATATACTTTCTGTAGTGAACCTATACCTGAAATTTTTAAGCAAACCTTAACATTTAAATATTTTATGAAAAACAAGATTATGAGAAACTAAAATGGGAGGTTCAGCAACCCCTCCTCCCCAATATATAGTAACTAACTAACGAAGTGTGAAGTACGTTATTGCTGCAAAAGACAACTCAAATTTTTACAGGGCTGTACCTCCTATGTGGCACATTTTCCAGTGTGTTGGACCTTCTTGGTTAGGTAAGTTGTCCATAAGTTTCTCATCTCTAACTTTTTTAATCTCAAATTATGTAGCTTATTTATAAGTTTATGGCTCTTTCTGATGAGGGCAATGTCTAATACTTACTTCCACAAGCTGGTGAAGGGCCTGGAGCACAAGTCTGACGAGGAGCAGCTGAGGGAACTGGGGGAGGGGTTAGCCTGGAGAAGGCTCAGGGGGGGCCTTATCCCTCTCTACAACTCCCTGAAAGGAGGATGGAGTTAGGTGACTGCTCTCTTCTTCCAAGTAACATGTGACAGGGCTCAAGCTGTGCCAGGGGAGGTTTAGACTGGGTATAAGGAAAAATTTCTCCCCCAGAAAGGTGCTCAGGCATTGGAACAGGTTGCCCAGGGCAGTGGTGGAATTACCATCCTCGGAAGCGCTCAAAAACAGTGTAGATGAGGCCCTTAGTGACATGGTTTAGTGGTGGTTTTGTCAGTGCTGGGGTAATGGTTGGACTTGATGAGCTTAAAGGTCTTAATACCTGATTCTATGATTCTATGAACACATCCAAGAATATATGGCTTGCTGTGGACAAACAAGCTTGACTCTTATAAGGCTGTACAGTTTACAAAGATTGCACAGCAGCTATCCTTCAAATCAAATTTGTCTATTATTTCAAAACCAAAACAATGTTCTGCAGTTTTCTCTAATGAAAGGAGAAGGTGGATGTCTCAGAGCACTGGACAGCATGCAGAGCTTGCTTTTGCGTGAGCATGCTGAGCCTGAGCTTCTTTCCCTGAATTCTTCAAAGCCCAGGTGATGAGAGCTCTCTATTCCTTTACCATAGACTTTGGCTCACGTTTCATAAAAGATAAACTTTTCACTCTGTGTAATGTGAAGAAATTATATTTACCCAGAAGCGGGCTAGGGCTTGGAGTGGGAATGCAACTTCTAGGGGAAAAGGGCAGTGCTGCCTCATTTCACCCAAGTGTTTAGAGGCCTTTTGAGTTTGTACTGAAAATAATCATTACTTTTTTAAAGCCTGTTCCTGATTCCCTTGTGATGAGGGCTCCCGGCGGTAACCCGCGGCAGCGCACCGCACCGCACACCCGCCATGCTACCGAGCCGCGCTCTCAATGCATTTAGGCAAGCACTGCACAACGCTGCACAAGCGGCAGCCCCAGCAAACTCACCGTCCCGGCCGTGCTGCTCTCCGTCTCGGCAGCGTCCCCAGCACCCCTTCGCCCTCCGGCAGCGTCCGGCAGCCCAGAGCCCGCCGGGAGCCCTTCTTGTGAGTCCTTTGCCCCGAGGGAACAGGAGTCCAGGCCGCGCCGCCGCCGCAGCAGCAGCCGAGACCTCTCACAGGCGCCGCCCGCTTCAGGCAGAGCTCGCCCCGATCGCGTCAGGGAGGCGTCTTTACAAACCAAGCCCGAAGCACCCCAGCTCTTCCCGGCTCCGCGGAGGACTGACGCCTTCTCCCGTGCTCTCGCCCGCCCTCCGAGGCGTGGAGGAAAACGCGTTGCGCCGTGGCATGTCCTTTACCGCGGCCCGTCGTTGTTGTCGCCATCCCGTGCCGTAGCGCAGGCGGAAGTGTTCCCCCGCGCACGTCGTAGGAGCTACCGAGGATGTTCCGGGCCTGGCGGACGCCGCCTCTGGCGGGGGCCCGGGCCCAGGCCCGAGCGCGAATCGCCTGGGGATGGGCGCGCCCCGCCGCCTCCGAGAGCCGGCAGCCCGCGGCGGAGCAGGATTCCCCGTCCCGGAACACCGTGCTGTTGCCGCGCAGCCGCTTCCCCGCGCAGCTGCCCGGGCGGCTGCAGCCGGAGACAGAGCTGGAAACGCAGCAGGTAGCGGCGGGGCCGCGGCTGGGTCCCCCGGGGGAGGCGTGGCCCGGCAGCAGCTCATGGAGGGGAGCGGGGAGGCTCGGCCCTGGGGAGGAGGGGAAGGTGGCTGGCTGAGGTTACTGTACGGGCCCGGCTTTGCTGCCAGTAAGTTGTAGGTGTGGGCTGCTTCAGGTGAGAGCCAGGCCGTCTACAGTCGGCTGTCAGAGTAAGTTGAAGGACTTTAGTTGTTTATGTGTAAGCACAAGTACAGGCTGGACGGAGACTGGATTGAGAGCAGAAGGACTTGGGGCGTTGGTTGATGAGAGCTCAACATGAGCCAGAAGTGTGTGCCTGTAGCCCAGAAATCAGTCGTGTGCTGGGCTGCATCACCGGCAGCATGAGCAGCAGGTCGAGGGAGGGGATTCCGCCCCCCTACTGTGCTCTGGGTAGATCGCCCCCTGCAGTCCTGGCCAGCTCTGGGCCAACCGCACAAGAGGAAGGTGGAGCTGTTGGAGCGAGTCCAGGGAAGGACAACAAAAATTAGCAGCACCTCTTCTATGAATACAGGTTATAAGAGTTGGGATTGTTCAGCTTGGAGTAAAGGCTCTGAGGAGACCTTAGAGCAGCTTCCAGTACCTAAAGGAGGCCAACAAGAGAGATAGAGAGGGACTTTTTACAAGGGCCTGTAATGGCATGGACAAGGGGGAATAGTTTTAACCTGACAGAGGGTAGATTTGGAGTAGACAAACAGAAGTTCTTCCCTGTGAGGGTGCTGAGGTGCTGGCAAAGGGTGCACAGAGAAGCTGTGGCTGCCCCATCCCTGGCAGCATCCAAGGCCAGGATGGGTAGGCCTTGGAGCAACCTGGTCTAGTGGAAGGTGTCCCTGCCCATCATAGGTGGCTGGAACTGGATGAGTCTTAAGGTCTTTGCCAGCCCAAACCAGTCTATGAGGTACAGGTGGGTACACTCTGGTTTGCTACTGTTTTGTTTGGCGGAAGAGTAATGACCCTGTTGGTTGTGGAGCGCAAGAATAATAATGTTAGGCTTAGTGTTATGCCTGTCTTGAGCTTTTTAATACTTTTAAGCTAATAATGTCTTCTGCTACAGAGTTAGAAAAGTGAACTCTCCATGCTTGTTTGTTTGCTTTTATTACATGTTTTACAATCTAGCCAGAATTCAGGAAGTGATGATTTAGGTATTTTCTTGTTGTCTCTACAGAAATGTGGTTTTTCAGAACTGTATTCATGGCAAAGGCAAAGGAAAACGAAGCAGGAATTCTGTCTGCATGATGGACCACCTTATGCCAATGGAGACCCTCATGTTGGCCACGCGTTAAATAAAGTAACTATTTATTTGTTCACACTGTACTGCTTTGAAGTGGTAAACATGTCTTATAATGTGCTGTGTGATTTCCCCATGGAAATGGGAATCAATGGAATGTTAAGTTAGTAACACTTTTTAAGTCTTCAGTTTTCTTGTAGATGGAGCTTTTCAAAAGCAAATGATGTGGTTATGTAGATGCCATATGATGCCAAGGTGATACAGATACCATAAGAGAACATGTACCTATATTCCAAGTGTTCATTTATGAGGCTGGATATTTCAGTCAAAAGAGGACATCTCTTTAGAAACAGACCAGCCTGTAATTCATTCCTAATCAGTATTAATTGCACAGTTTGTGTATGGAACGTATAGCATGTAGACACATGGGTGAATGTATATTTCTATATGTGTGTATGTAATAATGTTACTGTAATGCATGGTTGAGCTGTGTCTTGCTATTCTTTTTTCCTCCGAGTACTTTGTAGATTTGTTCCATTGAATTTATTTTATCTTGCTATCCTCAGTGGAACCACAATAACTAAGTGTTGATGGTTTTTAAAATACAGATTTCAGCTTTGAAATATTACTCCTAAATATGTTTGGATACATTTAGATTCAGTCCTGAGAGTATCTGTATTGCATACACTGAAAAGTGGGAAAGACTTAAAATGTGACCCACAGCTTATACTACTAGTGCTAAAACTCGGACTGCAGTAATATGCACTAGGCCAACCCTGTAAATGCAGCTCAGTGTTTCAAAAATGATGACAAGTAGGATTTGTTTGCTTCAGGTCTTGCAGGTTTTTAATCTGCATCTTTCACCAATACTGAATGTAAGTTCCCTTCATCAGGGGTCCTCTGAGGTTCTGCCAAAATACAAAATGATGGGCAAGAAAAATCACAAATGCATAGTCTTAAATGTAAATTTATACTGCACCATTGTAGTTTAACCCCAGCTGGCAGCTCAGCAGCATGATGCCAGTGGGATGGGAAGAGAATTGGAAAAAAGGTTAAAACTCATGGGTTGAGATAAGAAGAGATTAATAATTAAAATAGGGTGTAATATAATACTGATAACGAAAAGAGAAATAACAGAGAGAGAGGAAAAAAAAGGAAAAAAACAACAAATAAGTGGTGCACAATACAACTGTTCAACACCCAGTCTGACGTGAGTAGTGATCGGTGTCTCCTGGCCAACTCCTTACAGTTTATATACTGGGCATGATGTGCTGTGGTATGGAATACCCTTTTGGCTAGTTTGGGTCAGGTGTCCTGTCTGCTTCTTCCTGGCTTCTTGTGCCCCTCCTCACTGACAGAGCGTGAGAGACTGAAAAGTCCTTGATTGGGGTAAGCACTACTGAGCAACAGCTAAAACATCACTGTGTTGTCTGCATTGTTCTCAGACTAAAGCCAAAACACAGCACTGCACCAGCTTCTAGGAAGAAAATTAACTCTATCCCAGCTGAAACCAGGACATGCAGCCTTTTGTATTTTTGGGTGGTTTTTTTTAGCAGGAGGATCTTAATAGTGTAGCTATTCCACGTGGGGGAGCTAAAGAGGTAACAGACTCTTGTGTCCTTTCAGATTTTGAAAGACATCACTAATCGTTTCTACGTGATGAGAGGTTATAAAGTACATTATGTGCCAGGATGGGATTGCCATGGATTGCCAATTGAGTTGAAGGCGTTGTCAGAAGTCAAAGGATCTGAAAATCTTTCACCAATGGAAATTCGACAGAAAGGTAAACTACTCTTTGTCATATCTTCATAGAAGAAGTTGGCTTAAGTATTTATACATCCTACTCATACTTTGTATTTTATGCTTTATACGTAGTTTTTATACTTTCCTGGAGGCTTTTCTATAAGCTATTGGCGACATTTTCCATGATTACTATGTATTTGCCCAGCAGACTGACTGCAGCTTAATCTTATGAAACGAGATAATTGAACATAGGATTAATTCACTGCTGTAATCAACGTGCATATTGTTGACCAGCGGTTTAAAAAAACCTAAAAGGAAGGCAGAGGTTTTGGATTTCTGCTTTGCTTAATTGTGTAGTGACGTGAAACTGATGTTTATCATATTAAGATCCTTTTGGTTTTTGAAGACTGAATTTGATTAGGAGCTAAAAAGATGCGTTTAAAAATCAGGTTTCATCAGGACAGGTTGGCTCAGTACTTTAAGTAGGAATGTATTTGTTTACTGTGTTTGTAACAATATTACAGAACTATAAGAGTGTGCCTTTCAGAGGAGGTTAGTTTGCATTGTATGGAAACTGTTCTGAAGAAATAATGTTAAATACCATGTGTATTGAGACATCAACATTCAGCTGCAAAGCTATTTATAATGAGCAATTTAAACTGCTTTAGCTTGTGGCAATGAAATCGGCTTAACTTATTTTCAGGTGCATGTTCTGAAATGTTTGGCTCAGGATCAACAGAAGTAGTTAATTTTCACTCTTTATTTTACATTATTTGAGAAGGCATTTTAAGAAATTGTTCTTAACGAAATATACCTATTCCCCCCCCCCCCCCTTAAAAATAAAGTTTTTATTCTGGAAACATTTGTTTTATGTCCCCATATAAATCAAAAAGTGCCACTTCTGGATCTTTTTGCTGTTTGCAGTTTATGTAACTACTCTGAAATGCATATTTTTTTGAGCCATAATAATCTGTGTAATACACATCAGTAGTTAGTGCATGTTTTAAGTATTTTCAGCTGAGGCTTTTCTATAGAAGGTCAGTAGCGTAATTAAGTGGTATTACATTGATAAATGTACCAATTGTACAAAAATGTACCAAATGTACCCACTTACCTTGATGAGGTAAACCATGTGCTTAATGGAACTATTCCTTTCAGCCAGAGAATTTGCAGAGAGAGCAATTGAGAAACAGAAATCTGCCTTCATTCGCTGGGGTGTAATGGCAGATTGGGCTAACTGCTACCGTACATTTGATCCAAAGTATGAAGCAAACCAGCTGAGAATCTTCTATAAAATGTATGATAAGGTATGTTGAGCTTTTGTTGAAGTCTGGTTTGATTTATCATGAGTTTTGATTATCCTAACTTTATTTCTTCCCCCCTTTCCAGGGGTTCATTTATCAGGACTACAAACCTGTGTTCTGGTCTCCTTCGACAAAGTAAGCATTGACTTGACTATTTTGTCTTCAGAATTTTAGCAAAGGTATCAATAGCTTTTCATGTGTAAGTGTGTTAACTGATGTTTGATCTCTACCCAGAACAGCCTTGGCCGAAGCAGAGCTGGAATACAATGAGCAGCACGTCAGTCGTTCTGTGTATATGAAATTCCCCTTGTTA